CTGCAGGCCTGGTTGCCCCCAACTGCCCTCCCCTGCCGGCCTGGTCTCCCCCAACTGCCCTCCCCTGCTGGCCATCTTGTGGCGGGCATCTTGTGACCACATGGGGGTGGCCATCTTGTGTGAGGGCATGATGGTCAATTTGCATATTACCTCTATTATATAGGATGCTATATTGCAAATCCTTATGCACTTCATTAAGAAGGACAAATGCATACTTGGAGGTTAAATGTGCAGAAATGGAATTGCTTGGTCAAAGGGCATCTCAAATTTTAATTTTTATAAATACTGTGTTATTTATCTTAGAAGAAATTGACAGTTTATCATCTTTCCAGCAGTGTATTAGTATAACTGTTTCCCGCTATTTCATTGAGGAATTTAGATAAGCACTTTAAGCAAAAGAAGAAAGCAAAACAGAACACACATTTCTTTCCTGCCACATGTGTCTTCTGCTTCACAGTCAAATTGAGAAAAAGGGGGACACATGTAGTACTTTCAACAATAAAGATTAAAAACAATTATTTCTTGAAAGAGTGCTATGAAAATTCACTTCGCTTCCCGCACACTTATGAACTAGTCTGGATTCTACCCCTGCCAGTCTACTGAAGCTACCTTGCCAAGGCAGTTAACAACCTTATTAAGTCCAATGAACTTATCCCATTAATTTCTTTTTTATTTTTTTATTCTTGACTCCTCAGCAGTACTTGACAAGTGAGCCGTGCCAACATTCTTGAGATATTTCCTCTGGAATTTTGTGATGTTTTGCTCTCTTGTGATTGTTCCTCCTTACTTCTGTAACTCCTCATTCTCATTCTTCATTGTGGTTCCAAATCCTCAGCCTGCTCTTTACATGTTTTGTGTTCTCCACATTTCTGCAATTATTCCTGATTTTACTCTCTACATTCAGGTGATCTCATCTGTAGTCATGGCTTCACCCATAGTTGCTAACTATGTAATGAAGACTCCCGACTCTATACCCTTAGCCTAGCTCTCACAACTAGCTTTAGACTTGAATCTACTCCATTGACATACTGAATATTATCTGCATGGTTCACCCATCAACATTTTTTTTAAAATATATTTTATTGATTTTTTTACAGAGAGGAAGGGAGAGGGATAGAGAGAAACATCAATGAGAGAGAAACATCGATCAGCTGCCTCCTGCACACTCCCTACTGGGAATGTGCCCACAACCAAGGTACATGCCCTTGACCGGAATCGAACCTAGGACCCTTGAGTCCGCAGCCGACGCTCTATCCACTGAGCCAAACCGGTTAGGGTCACCCATCAACATTTTTAAACTAAGCTCATCATTTTCTTCCTCAGCTCTGCTTTGTCTCCGTTTCTTGGTACCACCATTTACCCAAGTCAGAAGTGTGTATATGTGTCCTTATCTATTTCTTTTTATAGCCAGTCTGTTGATAGATTCTTTCAGTTTTCTTATTCTGAATCTTTCTCTTTTCATTCCAACCCTTTTTGTCACCTAAAAGGAAACTATTGTTTCCTCTATTCACAACATGTTTGACACCACATGTTTGGGGGTGGTTCCACACGAACCAATTCTCCAACTCTCTGGACACAAACTGGATATCTTCCATTTCAGTTCTGACACTAACCACCTGGAGATAGTGCAGGTTAAGGGCTCAGTCGCACAAGACTATACCACAACTTCAGACACCAGTTTTAAGTCCCAGGTTATCACCTGTACTTCTGACCAACCAGCTATAAATTGGTTCCTGCAACCCCCTTTTCAGGTATGATAATTTGCTTTAACCACTCAAAGAACTTAGGGGAACACTTATGTTTACTAGTTTATTATAAAGACTATAATAAAAGTACAAATGATTAGCCAGATGAAGAGTTATGTAGGCCGAGGTCTTCTGGAAGGGCCCAGAGTACAGAGCTTCTGTCCCTGTGGAGCTGGGATGTACCACTCTCCCAGCACATGGATGTCTCTAAAACCTCTAGTTTAGGTTTCTTTTGTTTTTTAATTGAGGCTTCATCACTAGGCATGGTCAATTATTAACTCAATCTCCAGCCCCTCTTTCCTTCCTGGGAGGATGAGGAAGTGGAGCTGAAAGTTCCAAGCTTCTAATCATGGCTTAGTCTTTCTGGTGGGCAACCCCCATCCTGAAGCTATTCAGGAGCCCACCCAGAGTAGCCTCATTAGAGCAAAAAGCATTCCAGGAAATTCCAGGGGATTTAGAAGTTCTGTATAAGACACTCCCTATTGCCTCCATCACTCAGGAAATTATATGAGTTTTAAGAGCTAAATGTCATGAACCAGGGACAGAGACCAAATACATATTTCTTATCATGCCCACCATTTTAATTCAAGCTACTATCACCTTTTGTCTGGATCACTATAGTAGTCTTCACCCCTCAGATCCTTCTTGCTGAAGTCTTAAATGTTTTTCTAAAACATTAGATCATATCACTCCTCGGCACTTAGCACAGTATCTTGGATATTCACTCGGTGTATATTTGCTGATGAAAGGATGAATGTGTAAATAGGTTTTTTTCTTTTCTTTTTTAGGCCTTAAAAATTTATCACAGATTTTAAAGTGAAAATTTAGGTTGTATTTCTTAAATTGATCTATATAGTTTTTTTATGCACTTGTCCTTATATCAGTATAGAGCAGGGGTCCTCAAACTACGGCCCACGGGCCACATGAAAATACAAATATTGTATTTGTTCCCATTTTGTTTTTTTACTTCAAAATAAGTTATGTGCAGTGTGCATAGGAATTTGTTCGTAGTTTTTTTTTTAAACTATAGTCCGGCCCTCCAACGGTCTGAGGGCCAGTGAACTGGCCCCCTGTTTAAAAAGTTTGAGGAGCCCTGGTATAGAGTTTTGAATAATATTTTATTATTAGATCAGTATCTGCTTCATTGTTTAAAGACAAGATTTTATTTAAAAAATAGGGACTTATTAGCCCTAGCTGGTTTGGCTCAGTGGATAGAGTGTTGGCCTGCGGACTGAAGGGTCCCAGGTTTGGTTCCGGTCAAGGGTACATGCCTGCATTGTGGGCTTGATCCCCCCCCAGTGGGGGGGGGGTGCAAGAGGCAGCCAATCAATGATTCTCTCTCATCATTGATGTTTCTATCTCTCTCTCTCTCTACCCCTCTCCCTTCCTCTCTGAAATCAATTAAAAAAATTAAAAAAATAATTAAAAATAGGGGCTTATTAGAAATTTATGGTCTAGTAAGGCTTGAGCTATTCAATCTGAGTGATAAAGATCTGACTAAGCTCAGCCACTTTAATATTATTTTTAAACTTAAGTTATTTACACTTTGAGTTTTATCATCTGAAAAGTGGATATAATATCTAACTTGTGGCACTATTGAGGATTGAGTAGGTATTTTATGTGAAGGTGCTTGGTACATAATAGGAATTAAATTAATTTTAAAGTTATGATGTAATGCCATAAATATAAACTACATACTACTATTTTAACTTAAAAATTTTTGTCTTACAGATTGTGTGTGTACCATATCAGTGGCGTATAACTATGCTCATCATTGTTCTTGTAAATGCCCTTGTATCTATCATGGTGGAGGTAAGCACTTCAGATAATCAAATGGCTACCTTGCTGCTATGGGATTCTTGGTGATTTAATGGTAATGGGGGAAGAGAACAGGTAGTATTATGGAAGCCTACAAAGTTTCAGTTTCATTTTAGTTAAGTTTTTTTAGCCTTTTCTTCTGACATTTCCGTTAACTGATAGTAGTCATATTAAGGGATATTACTTAGCTACACTCATACAGATAGGAGAAAATAAGCAGTGAGCTAGCAAAAATTAGTGATTGATAGAAAGGAGAGAAGATTGGTGCTTAGAATTGTTGGGGGAAGGTAGGCACATCAATAAAGAGGAAACCACCAAACTAGATGGGTTGTGGGGTGGGGATGGGGGTGGAGATTGGTGCTCAGGCAGCCCATCAACTGGTGGCCAAGAAATCAGAGTGGGCTAGTACCACTGAGTCCTGTGATATATGGTAGAATTTCCCATTTAAGGAAGAAAGGGGACTTTCTCCATGAAAAGTCATAAATATTAATAATAGAGTTTATTGAGAGAATAAAATAATGACCGTTATGAATTTACCCAGTCTCAGCATTGATTAGTGGAACTTCCTCTTTGATATTTGCTTTTAAATTCCCTCTAGAGGTCATAAGGACTCTCTGATCCATTGTGCATTATACAATTACTCTCCTATTAGGATTGCCTTTAGATCCATTTCTATAAAAGAAACTGCAGAGTTCTCATTTGCTGTTTGTTAATATAATTTTGTCTGTTCTCCAAACTATTATTCTCTTCTACAGTAGCAACATATGAAATGGAAAGAGATAACAGGTGTGATTTTTAAGTGAAGGGTTTCATAGGACATGATTTTGAATTAAAATTAGGTAATTTGTGAAATATATACTTTAATGATAATATTTCTAGACTTGGAAATGATGCTTAATTTGTTATCTTTCTAAAAGATGACTTCGTATTTAAATTTGGACCATAGTTGGCAGCATGGATTTTATGGTACTGAAACTGATCTTTTTAAAGTGCCCAGTGGAATGTGTTTTTGCTATTGTATGGACTATAGAAAGCACATCCAAGACATTTTATTTTAAAAGCTTTTCTTTTTCTATAGAATAAGTTCAACTTTTCACTCAAATGTTTAAGATATATATATATTTTTAAAAACAGATTTTTTTAGGGAATCCTGTTATAAACCCTCATAATGTTTTACTCTTTCTCACTATCAAAAGAATTTGTGTTGGATTCTGAAAATCATATTCATATATAGATTTAGCTACATATAGAATTAATTTTAAATATTCAATGGAAATAACTCACTGTTAAGAAAAAGACTGGATTATAAGCATTATTTTAATATGGGGAGCCCGACTATTCATATAAAAGTCATGTTTTGTGGGAAATGTAGAGGTCCCATTTTATCAAGAATTTTATGATGATTTGCATTTATCATAAAAGTCATGTTATTTTTTGTCTGTTTGCAATATTAACTGAAATTCTCTATATAACAATCAAGTCATGTTTTTTACTAATGATTCAGCATTGTGTGATCCTTTTTAAATGTGCACATTAATAAAGAATGACATAGTCATTTTTAATTCTTAACTCACTGGAATATCTCTCAGAACTTCTGCCTTGACATGGTCCTTTGGAAAGTTGTGTTCAATCGAGACAGACAAGGAGAGTATCGCTTCACCACCACACAGCCAGCACAGGTTGGAATTCAGCACTTGCTCTCAATTCTTCATGTATACCCAGGCTCTCTCAGTGTATACTCTGCATTCTGTAGACTGGTGTTCTGTTGTGTGTTGCTTCAACCTTTTTCCTTATGCCTGCCATTTCATTTCTTGTAAGGAGTCCTAGAAAATTCATGGCAAACCTTTGTTACAGGCTTCTCAGGACTTCAGAAATTTCATAAGTCTTTTTTCCATTCCAATCCTTATCTTGTGTTTATGTAAAGGTCTTGTCCTCAGTGGTGAGAGTTAATTTTTCCATTTCTGTCTGGCTTAAATGTTATGTTTTTGGTTTTCATGAGCCCCATTAGAAGCTAAATGACATGTATGTAAACAAAGTTATCAAATAGGAATTATTTCTAAATGGATCAGAGTCCAAAGGTCAAAATTTTCAGCAATTATTTCTGATTTATTGTTACTGTATCTTAATTTTGGGTGGCTTTTAGGCTTTTCTCAGCATATGTCTTTCATCATTCAGAAAATTTTCAGGCAGTGCTCATTTTTATACAAATCATGGCTTAGGATTTTTTATTCTTTTGGACCCATTATATAACTTATTATTTGAAAGATATGCAAGTGCAGTGATAAAAAAGAAAATGAAATATAAACCCATTTCCTGGTGTTAGGGTTTTGACCTATAGTTTTTTCATAGAAAATATAAGTCTTATTTTTTAAACTGATGCCATTGAATTACATACAGCTCTACAGTTTGTTTATTCAGTTAATCCTCTCCTGAGGATATTTTTTCCATTGCTTTCTAGAGAGAATGAAAGGGAGGGAGAGAGAGAAACATCGATGTGAGAGACACATCAACTGGCTGCCTCCCACATGTCCCACTGAGGGCGGGGAGGGAACCTGTAACCCACGTACATGTTTTTGATCAGGTATGTGAGACCCTTTGGACCTGGGACTGATGCTGTAACCACTGAGTAACATCGGCCAGGGCTCTACAGCTTTTTGGGTATAGAGAACTTAATGATGCAGTCTCACCTCCTCATTATCTTACCCCTTTGTTTGTAGGTGGATGAGGTATCCTAAATATTTTACTAAAGATTTCTGTATCTAAATCTTTTACTCATCATGAGCCATGCAAGGAAACTTAGAGAGTTCAAAAGGATTCCTTGGCATTGCTGAATTGGGCTATTCACTTATTTTTAGCTTTTTTTTTTAACCTAAGTAGCAACTTCTTGAGTTTTATTTGGTAATTTAGCAGGCTTGATGCCCAGTGTAATACCACATGATCCTTTGATAAGAGGTCCTGGAGAGTGCTATTCTTTTTTCTAAAGCTTCATGATGGATGAGTAGTGATCTATATATATAAAAGGCTAATATGCACAGTGTCCCCTCGGGAGTTCGACCAGGAGACTGGGAGTTCAGTTGCTCGCTGTGATGTCCGCTGACCACCAGGGGGTGGCATGGAATGAAGGAAGGCCCTGGCCAGCAGCTGGAAGGCCCCCATCAGCCCTGATCGCCAGCCAGGCCTAAGGACCCTTACCGGTGCACGAATTTCATGCACCGGGCCTCTAGTAGTTTTATAATGATGGGATGAGTTTGGAATCAGCTTCAGTTTCTTTTTCTCAAAGCAGTGTAATGCCTTAGTAGTGGGTATGACCAGAATTGTATTAGGGACTCAATTCCTTTAGCTAAATCTCCTGTGTCTATATTTCTTTCCTTTTGATTACCTCACTACATTACTTCAGAGGTTAACTTTAGCTCATATGAGATACTTGAATTGGTAAGGCTCAAGCCAAGGAAAATATTTACCGTGAGTTATCAGCTTCTCCAGGGAGATCTACGACTGACAGGAAGTAAATGCAGGTTCTGAAGAGGAGTTATACCCCGACTTAGTCAAAATTGGGTATCATAAAGCTGTAAACATTTGAATTGGAAATCCCTCTTCATTGGTCAACCAAAATTAAATGGAAGAAAATTCTATCATTTCCTACATCTCTATTTTTTAAACATTTGTTAATAAGTATCTGCCCTTATTTTTAAGAGTTTGTGCCTCTCATGTGCAGTCTTACCTCTGAAGCATTTAGGGGAGAGAGTGAGTGGTCTAGAGCAGGTAGCTCTAGCATGTCCCGTGTGCTTACCAGTTCTGAGAATCATTGACTAGACAAGAATTTTAGTCTTCATTTTCTATGGTCACGATTAACAAATTATTGGCTTTAAAAAGAGTATTTATAACCTCTTAACACAGAATGGTACACTTTTGTCTTCTAACATTTGTGTGTGTAATGGAGTGTCACTCTTCATATTTATGACTCTTCAAGGGCCAATCCTATAAAAGCCTAATATGCAAATTGTGCCCTTGACTGGGAGTTTGACCAGGGGGTAAGGCCGGCTGGCTAATTGCCCACGGCCCCTTCCCCTGGCCGGCCATGCCCCCAATCAGGGTGGGCCGGCCAGACCCCACCCATGCACGAATTTGTGCACCGGGCCTCTAGTTAGTCATATTACTGTAAGGCTGTGGTTCTCAATCAGGGTCATTTGGCAGTACCTAGAGACATATTTGGTTGTCACGGTTTGGGGCTGGGGGGTGCTACTACTGACATGGGTGGACACTAGGGATGCTGCTAAATAAACATCCTATAGTAGTATGCAGGACAACCCAGAATGTCTAGTCCAAGATGTCAGTAGTACCTGCCATAGGTGAAAAAGAAAGTAAAGTTGAGGGTGCCAGCTACACCTAGGATTTCTGTGGCTGCCATAATTGTCCCTCACCACAAACTCCTGTTCCACATTTGCCCATTCTGTATGTGCGTTTTCTACCGAGAATCCCATGAGGTCTTCTCAAACTGCAACTTCCAACCTTCTATACTAATGTTGAGAGAAGAAAATTTTTCTTTCTTTTCCTTCCTTACCATATGTACCCAGGGACCACTGACTTGGGTTGAAAGCTAGAGAACCTTGACTAGGCTTCAGGTCTTAGACACTTGAATTGGGAAGTCAAGAACCTCACCTGGAAATCTCTAGTAACCATATCAAAAAAATCTGGCGATCTACAAGGTGCTTTACACTTCCAGGATCCTTCCAATTTTAAGGCATTTCTAGCTTCATTTTATACATAGAAAAATAGCATTCAGTCCACTTGCCAAGATTTTGCATCTAATGAAATGGCAGAGTTGGGAGTTGAAGCTATGGTTTCTGATTTCAGGAGGAGTGTTTTCCCACCATGCCACATTGCCTCATATATGGGGGCTATATAGGTGTAAGTTAATATAACAATCACATGACAAAATGGAGACAAACCATAGCTACTGTTGTCAATACCTGCTTTTTATGGTAGACACCGTATGAGGCATTTTATATAAATTCTCTCTAATTGTTACTACAATCTCAAGATATAGAAATGTCTTTTGTTTCTCCCAATTCCACAGATGAGGAAACAGTGTTAGAACTGGGATTCAGATTCACATTTACCTGTACCCAGGCCCATAATATTTCTAGGCCAAAAAGCTCCTATCTAGTCTTTAAAGACAAAATAAGTATCACTTTTTATTTAATAGATACTGTGTTGTACTTGGCCTACTGAACATTCATGCAGCTAACCTAATTTAGATACAGGAAGGGTTTTTACATAATACTAATTTATTTCCTATAGTGATTGTTTTGCTTCTGGATGCTAGGTGGCCTGAATGAAATTGAAAACAGGTTAAGTAAACCACATGCAAATAATCAAAGTTAAAACTTTTATGTAGCTAAATATTTCTCAGCTGTTAAGACTTATTCTCTGACCAAAAAACAAAAATCTTGATATACAGTGGTTTTCAAGCAAAAGTTTTCTTCAATAAATGCCTTTGAACTTCATCCTTGATCTACTGAATGAAAAGTTTTTAGTGGAGTGTCCCATCATCTCTATACAGCTTTACCCTGTTTGAGAAGATCTGTGCTGCATGGTCTCTTGGTGTCTTGGTGGCTGCTTAGTGGTAGATGTGGAACTAGAATTGTAGTTTGATCCTGCCTGAGGATTTGTGCCTGGTTATATTGTCCTTTTGGGGGGGGGGGGGGGGGG